CAAGTGAACAATAGTTTCATACTATTTATTACAGTTCTCTACTCTTACTTTATAAAAATATTTATGACAATATTACTTAATACATAACAGAAAACATTGTACACATCTAGATGGTAAATTAATAAATTTTTTTTATATACCTAAAATAACAATGCTCAGTATTTTTCGGGCAGAATAATATTAAAATGAGTTGACAAAAACATCAATAGAACATATTAAATAATAGTCTACATTATCCAAAACAAATACTAAACATACCAGATAAGGCAGCAGCTTCTTCATTTAGCTTCTTCAAGCATGTATTTAATTTTAAATGATTATGTTCTTCGCTAGCTCCTTCAGTATTAGTGAAGTCAGCTAATACAGAATGTTCATCAATTAATGATACAATCTCTTCAATGTTTGGTACAAAATGCACTCTTCTTGGACTTCTAATTTCATCAATAGGTTTTTCACTATTATCTGTTGATTCAAAGCCATATCTATCACCACCACCACTTAAAATTCCACCACATTCCATCCCATTCATGCGTTCCACAATTGAGTTGTTTAACTCTTCTTGCTTGGTTAATAGAAAAGAGCACAAATATTTGGATAATTGACGGAGGGTGGTTGCTACTGAACGCAAATCATCTCTAAAATTTATTTTATTTTGTTTTATTACTTTAAAAATATATATATTTACATATAAACAAATATCATAACTTATAATTATAAATTTCCTACCTCTCTTGCACAATGTCTTCAAGATCTTTGATTTGCATATCAATACTATCTTGGGATAATACCTAAAAACAAATTAATGAAATAAAATAAAAATATGCTATTAACTATTAAAATTTAACAAAATTTATATTTAAGCATACATAGTCTGAAGTTTCAACATCAGTATCATGTCCATTTAGATTATTTTGAAACAATTTTGGATCGAAAGAATCTATAGATGAAAATCGATCAACATCGTCAAATGAAGAACTTATTATTGTCTGAAATAAAAAATTATTGTAATAATTTAGCATAAAATATTAATAATAATAAAAAAAAATTCTACTTTTTTAAGTTTGTATATTTCATTTACTAAATATGAAACTATCTTCTTATGTTTTGCTTGAGTCTTTGTAATATCATCTTCAATCCGTTTTGTTAACGTATCTAAGTCACAATCTTTAAGATCATTCATACGTCTCTCAAATTGTTCTTTTAATTCACAAATCTCTTGTTCGTGATTACTCTTAATTTTTTCCAATTCAGTTTCAAATAAAGATTTAAGATTAGATACTTCAGAAGCGTTTTCAGCACATAAACGTTGAATCTCATTTCGATGCCGTTGTTCAGTTTCATTTAATTCGATTTGATGCTTTTCACATACACGTTCCAATTCTTTTTTATACGCATCATGCACCAATTCCAATTCCATGTTGTTTAATTTTGTTTAAAAAGAAAAATTATCTATAACATTGGTTTTAAGAAATTATATGAATTGTACACAAACAAAAATCACTATGGTAACATAAAATTATTATAGAATTAATTTACTATTTGAAACAATCTTGAACTTAATTCTAATATTTATCATAAAATGTATACTTAATGTTACCCAAACTAGTTGTCGATAAAAGTCATCATAAGATGTATATAATAATAGTCAACTGTACAAAAATATAAGACAATAAAAATGAAATAGTTATTAGGTATGTTAAAAATTACATATTAAAAATTCATAAATATTCAACATTAAAAAATATATTGCATATAAAACCATAATACGTTAAAAAAATAAAAAAGAATCTTAAGCAATTAAAACAGCTTAGACTTTGAACTTAATTGGTTTAAAAACGATAGAATTCAAAGAATGACATTATACCAAAACGTTGATAAATATTTTGTTTATAGTTATTAGTTATTACCACGGTCCACACGTTTTCACTATTTTAAATTACACAACAAATGTTTTATCTCTTATCGCCGTTGCTATAATAACAAAAGTATAACTGTCAAGTATGGAAGAATATATTTAGATCATGGAAGATTATATACTATGATAAAAATAACACCGCCCATTCATAGATTTTAATTTTCCCACGAACCAATATTATACAATTTTTTTATTAATATTTAATTTATTTTAATGACTTCTAATTATAAAAAAGTTTTTATGTGATATTATGGAAATTTAAAATAATTGGACAGTTCATTTCGCAAGAGTGATTGATTAATCGACTTTTACCAAAAATATACTCTGAAATAAGTAATCATCACAATCATTATATATAAATACATAATTTTAATCATAATTCATAACGATAAGCATTATTTGAATTTATAACGCCATATAATATATACTGCATAAAGATTGTTTACCCTTTGTTATTAACGATAAGAATGTTTATAATGTATACAGGCTATATCAAGACTAGATTTATAAGGATAATAAGTATTAGTCCTCATCCCTCAATCATTATTTTAACATACCTAATGAAGTGATTTCATGAAAAAATCAAAGACGAATGAAGGATGAAATTCGGTTAAAAAAAACTACAGAGGCGTTAATGGTCCAACAATATTTTTTGTTTTGTTGTTATGCATTATCATAAATCGTTATTTTAAATTAGAATTGGTGAATACCTACTACTTAAACTTAATTTTACTTGAAATTACCGATTTAAATTTCTTATTTTTAAATACCTAACCTATCTTTTACCTTTAGCAACAACTTAATAATATATTTTTTTATTTAGTTTGTTTTCATGTTGAAAAATATATTACCTGTTTAATGAGTACCTAATGACTGATTTATAAGTACCTATTAAAATTATAAAGGTCGCATTTTTAAGAAAAAAATAATTAACACTCTCTAGAAATTTACGTCTGTTTGTATATATATCGGTTTATTATACATTTAAATATTCATATTATTTATTTCACATTCATACCGATGTGATGTATACTGTATAGTACTTACTACAACAGTCATTCAATTATGTGTTATTTTTTAAGAATTTTAGATTAAAATTCGTAAAATTAATAATTATAATCAGGTACCAATCTATAGTATCTATTCTATATTCTATAATCTACATTTTACAAGGTACGAGCATTAATATTTGATAATAGTGTGGGACTCATGTTGTATATATAAATATGTTATTTAAATATTATGTTTGATAAATGCTACTTGCTAGTAAGTACCAATTATTTATATTACATATAATAATATACTTAAGTACCTATGCTACATGTCAGTGGCGTATTTAGGTTTTTGTCATGGGGGGGATATGGTTTAATCAATGAAGATACCAATGAGAATATTGTACAATATATTATAAAATTTTAATTCTTGCAAATTTAATCAATTATTGATAAAAAAAAATAATAATAATAATTTTTTAAATAATATGATGACTATAATTATTTGTGTGTATACATCCTATGGGGAGGGGATTCATCCCTTGATTCCCCCCGCAAATATGTCGCTACTACATGTAATATAAATAGAAAATATTCTGTCCATGAAGATAATCGATTTTTATTCTGCAATAGATTTCTTATGTACAACTTCAACTTACTGCTATGTAAGACAAATTTTAATTTTAGTACCTATCTTAAGTGTAGTTATTGATAATTTATTTTTCTTTAGTAAGATTGGCTTTTTAAGTTTCACCCTTGGGGGTAATTGTCCCTTAAAAAGATTTTTCATAAATATGAGCAAATCAATAGCGAATTTCGAATGATACTTATTATTTCTGATGAAATAAGATTTTTTTTTTTTTTGCTATAAATTACAAAACTAATTAATAGAGAAGTTGTATTGTAATATTATTATCAAAATGATTTTATATTATTATATTTTATTCTGCTGGAATTTGAACATCGCAAATTAATAATTACAATTTATACGATAAAAAGATTAGTACGATTGAAATTGAAAATATTATGTATTGTTGATTGGTTAATCTTTTCGATTAAAGCGTCTCTAAAGGCTATACAAAATATATTATATGATATAATATATCATACCTATATTTAGTTTTGAATTATTGTCTGTTGATACTATATTAAAATAAAACTAAATAAAACTATATTAATACAACCATTAAAACTGTAGTGCATTCAAAGACAATAAATATATACTATGTATTATGTCTTTGAGTGCACTAAGTTCATTTGTAAATAAATCGCACGTATGCATTGATTAAGACCATCATTATTTTTTACATGATATTTAATAAGTAGTAACTCGTGGCCAACGTACTGATTAATTAATTAAATATTAATAAAATAATAAAAAGTAGCAATTAGAAAATTTTAGCGATCATAGAAACATCAGAGTTTCAAAAATTCAAACATTCAAACATTCTACATTCAATCATAGACATGGCACTATGGCAGAAATACAGAACGTGGATCGTGGATGTGAAAGCGTTCTCAGATGCCACTTGCCGAACATTTGTATTTTTCTAATGCCACAGGATCGTAACCTCAAAAACCAATCTGACTACAACAGCTGCAGCTGTTCGATCGTCGTGGAATAGAAAACGTAAAACACGTTTTCCGGTCGACCGGCTGACGAATGTTTTCGAACTGAAGAATGAGGAAAAATGAGTATGAGTGACTGGAAAACGCAATTGGCGGGCGGGCCGGCGTTTTCCCGGTTGCCGACGCTCTTGTTTTTTTCTCCAAGACAATCTTTGCCCAGCAATCACCGTCACGGTTTTCCCAATTGGTCAAAACTTATCAAGGTCGGCATCCGCGGACCAATCACATATCTCGTACTGTTAGTTATAAGAGTAGATGACTGGGAGGAAGTATCACCGGCGGTGACAGACAGCGCTGCATGCCGTGTCGAACACACGAACGAAAAGGGCACACACACACACTGACTGAGCATACGCTACTGACTACTGTTGTTTACACAAACACACACACACACACATGCCGCTTTAAATATAATATATATATATATTATATATATTATGTAGTTTTTTTCTTAATATTTCTCTACTCCATTCCCACCCAAGGAGGTCTCTGTCGCACACATACGGCTCTCTGTCGCACGCATACGGCTCTCTGTCGCACGCTTAGGCTTTCTGTCTTTCCGTCTGCCGCTCGCGTACGTACACTGTACACAGTACACACCACAATCATTTTCTTCGTATTCCTTGCGATGTCTCATCCCGTGTTGCGTGCTCACGTCTCGCGTCGTAACGTATCGTTTGCCGATTTGGAAATCGTTACCGTCGAAGATTCAACCGCCGAAAGATTGTGAAAAACGATACCATGGAATGGTAGTGTGGAACTTCACTGTTACGGACCACCGCCGCCGCCGCCGCCGTCATCGCCTCCGCCACCGCCGCCACGATCACCAACGCGGCGACGACAATGGACAACAGTTCGACCCAGGTACTTAGGTCATTTTTTGTTCGTTTGAGTACTTTTTACTTTCCATACGTCTCGTGTAGTCGTGTACTCTGTTTTATGGACGTCTTGCCCCCCACGCGTGTATTCGCGTGTCCGGCTGGAACACGTGGTACCTCGTTGGCGGATTCGGTTGCTATTGCAAACATTACCGTAGGACTATCTGGCATGCGTCTAGTGTTCACATGTTTCGATGGTGGTGCTGTAATTCGGTCGCCGTTAATCTTGGTGTGTGTAGTGTAAATCGAAGTTATCGATTTACTTGGAGATTTTTCTAGAACATATGGTCATCGGCGGGTTAAAGGTGATCTGAGAGTACACTCTTGCTGACCAATATCTTTCTTGTATTTTGTTACCGATTTTGTTTCATTTTTTGAGGTTATGTATTTGTTACTTAAATAAGCGGAAGTAAACCTTAGTATTGAAAGCTCTTGGATCAGTTACAATACTGTTTACATGTTGAATACTTGGTCACGATTTGTGTATAGATCACCTCTTTAATTTTATATCAAATTGATTGTTCTATTGCTTAGTTTCAACCTTAATTGACGTTCGTTTGATAGTCTTTCGTGGTGCGAAATTGACTGGTATATCGCCTCAATACTCTAGAGTCCTAGAGTTATATGGTATGTTTTCATCTAATATTCAAGATTACTTTTAAAATTTAAATATCAACTTGCCACAACTTTTATTGGCTATTGGCCATCAAATACATACCAATGGCTATTGTTAACAGTCATAAAAGTTAATTTTAATTATAGGTACCTTATATGTTACATACCTAAATAATACTGCAATATAAAAGGAAAATTTATATTATTATCAATGCTAAAAATCTATATTAAACTAATAATAATATAATATTCAATTTTTAAACTATTAATATTGGGTAGATTTGTTTTATAGGTTATGCTTCTATATAAGTATGTTTTAAAATATTTTAGGATTTTTCATGATGTCTGTTGTGTATATACAATTAGCTGGTATCTAATGACTATCAAAATTTTTGAATTTAGTTAAATAAGTTACGTTTTTTTCTTACTCGATATTATGCAATGAGTTTATGAGCATATTGATAGCTAAGTTACTAGTTGTATCTACAAAATATTCATCCACATTTGAGTCAGCATTTAGTAATTACAATTTACTACAAGCGTTACAAAAGTGGTAAATTAAACTTCATTATTTCTTAGATACCGTTTTGGTATCTGAGAAAGGTAAACGATTTTCTGACAGTTGACCGTCACTAAATGTGTTTGGGTCAGAATAACGAAAATTACATTTATATTATAAATTATTTTAACTTTGTATCTTTATCTATCTTGAAAGAAGTATAATTGTAAGTTATAACATAAGGTATACATTTAAAATTGGTTTTAAATATTTTTTATTTTAGGATTGAGTTGTAAAGTATACTTATTCCCTTATATATACTTTGATTTTCTATACCTGATGGTTGCTTTTATTCCATAAATAATAATTTTTTCTCCTTTGACACTTCAATAAATTAGAGAAAAGTGTAAAGTATTTAATTACGAACCAACCAATATTAAAAATAAAACTATATATGATAAAAATATTACAGTTTTTAATATTTTGATAATATACTTATAAAAACATTGGTCATGTAACTTAAATTAAAGTGCTGGGTTAAGTATTTAAAGTTTTAGGACCTTTTCCGTTAGTTCACTACCGTTATTTTTTTTGGTTTTTCCATAATTTAGTAAACAGAAATATAACGGAGGAAGGCTGTTATCAAATCAATGGGTTTTAGGTGGTTGGTTTAGCAAACCAAAAAGATTTTTCTAGTTCTTGTTTCTGACAGATCAGTACGTACATTGTTGCCAATTATCATTGAACATGTTGCTGCAGGCATGACAAAAATAATTGATGAGTGGCGCTCCTACCATGGGCTTGATCAATCTTTTCAACTTGATGAATCATTTCCTTAATTTTGTAGATCCTAACGCTGGTTCACACTAATCCCATTGAGAGTTCTTGGGCAAAATAAAATTACAGAATAAAAAATGTGTGGTACCTACCGACTAATGTTAAACTAATGTTTATTCAGCTCTTTAATAAACACTGTTTAGTAGTTTTTTTCATGAAATATTCATGTACTTATAAATATAAATCATAATATTAATATGTTAATTTTAACTTTATGATTGCAATATTTCCTTTGAAAAATCATAAGTTGGAATAATACATACATTTTTTTTTGGTATATTTTCCATGTAATTAATTATAGAACCATATTTCTAATGACTATATATTTTGTTATGTTGCTTCATTTATTCTATCAACACTTATTATTTAAACTACAGGTATATTAAAGATTCTTTGTTTTCAATTAAATAAGTTAAACACTATCCACGTTTGAGTCAGCTATTTGTAATTAAAATTTAACTATTCAGCGTTACAAATGTGGTAAATTAATAATATCCAACTATGTATTGTCGTTTTGATAATTTAATAATGGATAAATTTTCTGACAGTTGATATTTCATTTAATATGACTTATCAGAATAATGAAAATAACAATCGTTTTCAAGAACTTTTTTTTTTCTGAACTGTTAGAATTCAAAATTATATTTTATTTAAAATTCTTAAAAAAATTCAAAATATAATAGCAAAATAGTGTTTATACTTAAACAATAAATTAAAATGAATTAATCTGCCCTTAATATTTTTAATTAGATTATTTTTTATACTATTTGAGGTGTTTAATTTAATCATCTATAAATTAAAAATTTCTTAAAGTTAATGTATTTGAAGAGTTCAAGAACTTATCTCTTACTGAAACAAATAAAATAATTGTGATATGTTTTTATACTTGATAAATAAGGGAATTCAAAATCAGCTGTTTTTAAAGAAACTATTATTAGCAATTTCTAAGTGTGTGTGTGTTTGCTTAGTAAGTGGTCATTGAGGTGTATGATTGTAATATTACAGAAATACTGAAACATGTGTTTTAATTATTTTGTTTTGTATTATTATTATTGTTTATTTACAAAATATAAATGAAATTTGAAATTGGCTCCACTAAGCTACCTAACACTAATAATTGTTATGTGTAAAAGTTATTGGTATTTTGCCTATTGTGTTACTTTATCTATTTATCTCATACAATTTTCTATTACATATTTTCATTCGTTTTTAAAGTTTTTTTTCAAAAGAACTTTTTTATTTCATTATTATATAAATGCACAAAATTCTTGTCATTCAAAATTTAAAACAATTATAAATGGTTTATCAGATAGTTTTGTGACAATTTCAGAACTTTTATCTTATAACCAAAGGGTAGTTCGTACAATTGGCTAAATACATGTATTTTAGTAGAAAACATAATTATGACTGTTAAATCCTGTTGTATAAATTCTGTACTAATATTTTTTATATATTTTTTTTAGGAGTTTGAGTTCCTTGATTTCACAGATATCAATGACATGGAACGTGGTCGATTGCTGCATATGCTGTATTCTGCACGGAACGAGTCATGGGTGTCTGGAGAAGATGGATTCAAACATCCTGATTTTCCATGGACTTTTCGCGGTGCTCAACCTCAAACACTTCCTCCACCAGGTTTAATGAACGAAGTAGGCAACATCACACATATTTCTGATTGGAATACAGCAGCAGATGAATATGGTATGTTAAGTACATTTTCTGTTTTCTGTTTTTATTTTATTAATTTAAATACAGTGTTTAAAAACGCTTAATAATAGACTGTGGTTATTCGACAGTTAATGGTGATACAGAACCTGAGAATGCTGTGATGATGAATGGTGGGAATTTTGTTCCTGGCCCTCCTCCACCAGTTTATCAAATGGTGCCAAATCCTCCGGTGTATATGGGTAACGTACCTCCACCAGTACATGGATATGTCCCATCTCAAATGTCGCCATATCAGCAACCAATGTACCCTGGACCAGAACCTCCTATGGACCCTAATCTTAGGCGACCAAATATTTCCAGGAATCCAAAAGGAATTCCTCCTCTGCCCAATGTGAAACGGAATAATGATATAGCCTATCGTCATCCAGACAATATGGAAATGGCCAATTATCAATCACCACCAACATATATTGCTGTTCCTCCACATTATTATTACTCGCCTCAAAATAGTCCATTATATTTGCCACCTCATCATGGACATCCAACATATCCCATGTATACTCCACATCCTACTTTATACAATCCATACCAACAGCCAGGACCTGCTATGTATCATTCACCACCAGCTGGTCAAGTACCTCAACAACCTCTTTTAGTCGAATCATGCAAACCTAATGTCAATCAAATTCCATCAGTGCATAATATTTATCCTCAAGTACCAGATAACATTAATGAGTCTCAAGTGGACCCAGAAATAATATCAATACCACAAGATAAAGAGGAAGAGTTACAAGTACATCAAGACCATGTGGAAGTTATTGAAATTGCACCAGCACCAGAGGAAACAAGAAATGAACAATCAGTTATTGTAAGTGAAGTGCCTATTGTAGAATCAATTCCTCCACCGGTTGAGTCTTGTGAAAAAATTAAAGAACCATTACCTGCTAAATCAAAAAAAAAGAAAGAACCAGCCCCTAATGTTTCTTCAGATGTGATACCAGAAATCCAAAAACCTGAGAAAGAAGAAACTAAAACTGAAGATGTTACTCCTGTTGTAGAATTTAAAGAAGAAACTCCTTTAAGTCAAGAACAGGCTTCTTTACCATCAATCCCTTCTGTTGTAACACCCGAAGTTCAAGAAACTGAACCTGTAAAACCTGTTTTTAAAACATGGGCAGGACTATTTACTGGATGTACTAGTACAAGTAGTGATAAGGTTTTCACATTACATGGTAGTAGCCAACCAACTACCAATACAAATACAGAATCCATAATTATGCCATCAAGAACTTTACCTGATAATTCAATTCGGACTTCAGTATTTATTACCAATAACAACCAAAAACAAACATTACCAGTTAAACCTAGACCTTCAAGTAGCAACTCCATGTCTAGTATTGATGATAATACTTTGTATTTACAGAGATTAGGTGGTAAGTTACATTTTATTTTTTAATGTTAAATATTAATATTTGTTAATTTTATTTACTAATTTTTGTTTAGAATTCCTTTCGGTTTATAATTTGGATCATAAAACTGCTCATCTACAACCTCGAGGCCTAACCAATCGTAACACCCGTTGTTATATTAATGCCACATTGCAGGCTTTGTTAACATGTCCTCCTTTTTTCAACCTCATGAGAAGTGTACAATTTAAACTCAAAAATAGAAACAATCGAGGACAGCAAAAAACCCAAACTCCTATTCTAGAAAGCATGTATGTTATTTTATCTAGTATATTAAATGCCTATCTAATTTGAAAATATTAATTTAATTTTAAATATTAGGGTTCAATTTATTGGAGAATTTCAACAATTAAGCATTAAAAATGGTAGAACTACTCAACAGCAACGTCAAGCTACATCAGTCGCTACTCAAGAAACACCTGATACTGGTCCTGCCTTTGAACCCAGTTATGTTTATAAAATATTACCAGCTTTTGAAGAAGGCCGCCAAGAAGATGCTGAAGAATTTATGAGTTATCTGCTTAATGGAATTAATGATGAAATGATTGAAGTAAGTTAGGATATTCTTGCCTACCATTTTTTATTTACATTTTTTATTGATAATAAAACTATTTCAGCTAATTAAAATGAGTAAATCTAACATAAGCAATGGTGAAACTCAAGCTGAAGTTGATGCTATTGATAATAACAATGAGTGGAAAGTTAGTACTTCAATTTTTCTCATAAATAATATTAGTGTGAAGTTTTGCTTAATATTATTTATGTATGTTTTTATTTTTAGGAAGTTAATGGTAAACATAAAATGGTGACCAGAAGAACAGTTATGGAAAAAACTCCATTATCTGAGATATTCCGTGGACAGCTACGTACTCGCACAGTAAAAAATGGTGAAAATGAACCGACTGAAAATATTGAACCTTTCTTCACACTTAAACTAGACATTGAGGTATTATATTATGAAACTAATAAATAAGAAATACAAATGCAACGTTTACATCATTTTTTAACTGTAGAAAGCAAAATCTGTTCGGGAAGCTTTGGACATGCTAGTCAATAAAGACACACTCGAGGGATTGACTTGTCCTAAAACCAACCGCGAAGTAGACGCATACCAACAAGTTACAATTGATGAATTACCTTATGTCTTGTTATTACATCTTAAGTGTTTTGAATACAAGCAACAAAAACTGACTAAAATTGTGAAAAATGTTGAGTTCTCTGTTGATCTTAAAATTGAACCTAGTAAGTGCTAATTTTATAATTTATTGTTTAATTCAAACATTCCATATTTCTATTTGCTTCAAATCTGAGTGTAATTCATAAGATTTGTTTTTGAAATTTGGGTACATTAATTTGACTCATAAGAGTAGCATTTGGATATTTTATTATCAAAAGCTTAGTTTTGTGTCATACACATAATTTAATACTAAGTATGTATCTTTCCATTTTTGATATATTTTTAGTTAAATACTGACACTTAACTAGTATGCAAAAGTGGTTAATAAAAACTATGTTTGGACAGTTGTAGTATGCTGAATAAACAATATTATATGATCAGAATAACAAAAATTACATTTTTTACAATGTATTATACATTATAATTTATAATTATATTATGTATTAAGTACTAATAGTAATTATATCTTCTGTAATATTAAATAATTTTAGCAGTATTGAATGTTAATGATTTTTTTGCAGGGCTCATATCAAAAAATTCTAAGATCAACATGAAAACAAGGCAGTATAAACTTTTTGCAGTTGTTTATCATGATGGTAAAGAAGCAAACAAAGGTCATTACTTCGCTGATGTATTCTATGTGGCACTTGGTAGATGGTTACGATTTGATGATGCGTCTGTACGTTTTGTCACTGACAAAGAAGTTTGTCAACCGAAACCCCCATGTATGCCATATTTGCTGTACTACAGAAGAAATGACACAATTGCTGCACTCTCAGCATTTGATAATAAAGGCAGATAGTTCTTTATTTTTAGACATTTTG